TATTATATTTTTATTCTATATTTATTATAGTATTTATTATATTATAATTTATTATTTTATTATTTATACTATATTATACTATACTATATTAGCTATACTATACTAAAGAATAGAGAAAGGATACAGACAGAAGGCTACAAAGAATTATAATGAAAACTCATGACTCTCTCCAGTCTCAACACAGCCTGGCTGTGATTGGTCATTAAGTTAAAACAATTCACATGAAACCAATCAATTACCAATTGGTAAACAGTGTCCAAACCATATTCCAAAGCAGCAAACACAGGAGAAGTGAATCAGATAATTGTTGTTTTCGTTTTTCTCTGAGGCTTCTCAGCTTCCCAGGAGAAGAAATCCTGGCAAAGGGATTTTTCCAGAAAATGTGACAATGACACCTCCCTCCCTGCTGGCTCTGTGCTGAGGGAGATGCTGTTAATTTGCCTGGGGGGGGCGTGAGGATGCTTAACATGGGCAAAGTGAGGAGCACCAGAATTCCCCTGCTCTGTCACCAGTGAGCTGGGCCAGTGCCTGCTCAGCAATGGGCAGTGACTTGCCAAGGTTACCCAGAGATAAAGCCAAGAGATATTAGCAAGGAAGCACTGCCAGGGAGCCCTTCCCCCCCTTACAGACAAGGGGAGATTTATGCCCCGCCGTGTTCCCGGCTGTCTGTGGCCCTGTGCTGGCACCAGCCCGGGGCTGGGGGGAAGGTGCTCTCTGTCCTGCTTCATGCACCCCTGTGACTCTTGTCTTTGACTTCTCTGCCCTTCTGAGGGACCTGTGTGTCTCTGCTATTAGAGGATTTATCTCCTGTTGGAAGCTGTGCCAGGAGTTCCAAGAGAAATGTGTGGTCTGGGGAGCTGCGGGGCGGATGTGAGCGTTGGAAGGTGATTTAGAGTGTTTGCACAAGGTTTGACGCTGCAAGCCTGGTCTCAGCCTGATCTTTGCTTTAGAGAGGAGTGACAGCCAAGTTTGTGTCCATCAGGACTGAGCAGGAGATCTTTAGAAGCCCTTGGGTTTAGTGCTGTGATTTGCAGCCACAAGCGCAGGTCCCTTGTCTCAGTTTGGGACCATGTCCCCTTTTTCTTCCTGCCTTGTGGGGCCGCCTACATTTGGTGAGAATGGGAGTTTGCTTTTGTTTTCCTCCTGCTTTCAGCAAGCTCTGAAAGGGCACTTTGGGGTTAATGATGAAGAAAGCAGGACAAATATTCAGTGTGATTGTCAGCAGCCATGTCCAACCATTCCCTTGTGGCAGGAACTCCAGCACTAACCTCTCCTCTCCTTTCCACAGCTCTCCCTGAAATGCCGAGCTCCAGAAGTGTCCCAGTACATCTACCAGGCCTACGATGCCATCTTGAAAAACTAACAGGAGGTGGAGCCTGTGCCTCACCCTGCAGAAGGAGGAGGGGGGAAAAGGGGTCCCCAGAGCCTCCTTCACCGCCAGCGCAGGGAAGAGCACTCCTAACTGGAAGCAGCTGTATTCATGTGTAGGATTGCAGTCAAAGGCACTGATTAAACAAGGTAGCAATTAGTATCCACGTGCTAATGATGATAGGGAACAAACCCCTTTGGTATTTTTAGCGTCCATGGAGTTTGTAACCACTGCTTCAGACTACTCCCATGTGCCCCTCGCCCCTCACTCATCCGTTCTCGTGGGCTTCTCTCCCATTTTGTGCCAATGTTCAGTGTTTTCTAAATGGCTTTAGGTGTAGTTTGGATTTTGTAAAATAACTGCTCATTGGAAAAACGAAAAAAACACCGAGCAAAAACCACACGTCTGCTGATTAAAACAAGGCAAAAGTGTCGAAAACATAACACTGCACTTTATTTTATATTTTTATACTTTTTTTTTTTTTTGAGTTTTTCTATTGTAATTGGCTTAAAGGGAAGGTGATTGCAAGGAAGTCTTGGGAGCCCTGCAGGGACGTGGGGCTCTAGCAGGGTGAGCACAGCCTCGGGGAATTAGGAACAGAGCCATCAGTGGGGTCCTAGGAGGGGAAGGGAGCCCTAAGAAGGGGTTTTTATTACTCTTGTGCTGGCTTCTATGGTGTTTTCATTCCAGCCATCTCCCTGCCTCATCAGCTGGTGATTTGAGGCTGCTTTAGTGTGGGGAGGAGCTGCAGGCCTGGATGGGTAACAGGGCAGGGGTGATGAAATGAAGGAAATGAGCCTGTTCTTAGAGCAAAAGGCTCCAGGTGTGGTCTCTGCATCCTCACCCATGTGCAGCCCCTCTGCCTCCCGTTCTTTCTGTGCCTGCTGAGGCCAAGCTGCCTCCTCAGCCATCCCTGAGCTGTGCCCCCCTCTCCCAGCACTGGCCCTGGCAATTCCACATGTGGCACTGCCACTTCCCCCGTGGGGCTGCAGCATCAGCCAGGCCCCCACGGAGAGGGGCTGCTGCTGGCGGTGCCCCAGGATGCCAGGGGAGTGCAGTGGCTCTCCCTGCTGCCCCCAAAGCCCAGGCTGGGCATGGTGGGAGATGCTTTGGGCCTGGCACTGTTTGCTCCCTGCCTGCCTGGGGCGCTCAGCTTCAGCTGGGCTGGGTGGAGCAGGCCATGGAAGGGTTTCTCCCTTTGGCAGCTCCACTCTTTGTGCCCAGCACAGTGGCCAGAGCCAGCCAGGTCCCTGCTCTGAGTCCCAAGCAGCCCCATGCCCTGGCCCCTGTTTTCCAAGCTGTCCCTTAGAGCCAGGATTGTTTCCCTTCCATTCCACAGCTGTGGAGTCACCCCATTGCAACCACTCAGTGCTGCAGCACCAGCAGTGAAAGCAAAGCTCCTTGCATGTCCCTGCTCCATCCATAGCTTGTCCTGCTTAATCCAAACCCCACTCCAGACCAGCCTCTCCCTCCCCAGCATGCTTGGACATCTCCACCCCACCTAACAAAGCTCTTGTGTGTAGCAACCCCCCCTGTTGTCCTTTTAGACGCCACTTTCAGAGTCAGTAAATGTTTCACGGTGGGAGATCGTTCATCAGGGCTTTGGCACTGGCTGCAGCCAAGAACCCGGTGCTGGGAAAAGGTCACAGTGTCCTGGGAGAGGCTCCAGCCTCAGAGGACCCTGAGGAAGGTGTGTGCCTGTGTAGGAACCCCTGGGCTCTGGCTGGGGGGAGGAAAGTGGGGCAGAGCTGGAGCAGCCCAGCCCTTGAGCCTTGCCCAGCGTGCTGGGAGGGGATTTGCTCCGAGCCCTGCGGGTGGGGTGTAAAAATCATTAACAGAGCAATTAAGGAATCCTGATGCTGTGTGGGGCAGGGAGGAGAGCACAGCTTGGACGTGGGGAGGGGTTGCTGAGCGCCCCCTTCCCTTGCCAAATTCCTTCCCAGCTTTTGGGGTGGGTGTGCCAGCCCGGGCGGGGCCGGTGCCGTTCCCTCCACCCCTGCTCGTTGGAGTGTTCCCGTTCGTGTTGCTCTTCAGGCTTTCCCTGCCCTCCGTGTCAATAAAGTCATTTCCACGAGGTTCTGGCTGCGTGTGGCTCTGTGGGAATGGGGAGAGGAGCCATTCCCCTGATGCTGGCTCTGCCCAGGGCTGGAGGCTGCATTTGCTGGGAAGGAGATTTTGCTCACCAGGCTTCTATTTCCACCAGGCACTTCTACAGCACAGACCCCCTAAATTGGGGCTTGCAGGAGGAGGAGGCAGCAAGTTTCCTTGGTGCTCCAACAGCTGCTTCTCCTCATCTAAGAGGGCAGCAGGGACAGATTCAGATGAGGAACAGAAGATGGATGTACCCATTTAGCCCTTTTGGGGCTCCAGGGGGGCTGTGTGTGGTGTGACCTGTTTTCCCTGTGGTGAAATGGTAAAATCCTGGGAGTCAGTGATGTGTTTGGATTGCTTTGCACTGGTGCTGTTTTTCAGAGGGCTTTGCCATTTCTTCATCTCCAGCAAGATCGGTTGGGCTACAAAACCTCTGTGCCAGGCCAGAGCCAAGCTCAGTACCTGAAGTGGCCAGAAATCCAGCAGAACACACAGCAAGTTTGGGGAGTGTTGCTCTGCATTAGGGCAGCCTTTTCCCTCACCCTGCCCAGCCTTGGCTGAGCAGCCCCTGGATTTTTGGAAACTTGCATCCTCTGTGGAGGGCAGGTACCACATCAGCCAGTGTGGCCCTGCTCTGGGGTGGTTTTGTGTTAGGAGCAGGTGCACGTGTCAGGTAACAGCAATGACAGGCTGGCTTGGGGTCCCTGATCTTGCTGTTGTGTCCCTTCCTGCATCCCTGGTTTGGGATGGGATCGTCATTCCCTGCAGGGGATGGGCCTGGAGCAGCATTTGGCCCCACAGGAGCAAAGCCTGCTGTGGGATCTCAGGGCTCTGCCCTGTCTGCTGCTGTCCTGTGGCAAAGGGAAGGTTTCATCCTCCCTCACTGGTCTGCCTCGAGAACAAACTGGGTTTTGCTGCTGCTGTGGGTTTGCAGATTTGCTGTGGATTTCCCACCAACCCCCTGGGAGCTGGGTTTGTCATCAGCAGTGTCACCCCTGGGGCTCAGGGGACACAGGTGATGCTCCCTGAGCTGGGAGCTGCCAGGGGGGATTGGTCCTCACAGCTTTCCCTGTTCCTGAGGCCACACGGTGGGACAGGGACCTCCTGAGCTGTTCCTGGCTGCTCTGGCTGGAGCTGGGGCAAATCCTGCTGTGCTGGGTGGGCTCCCCAAAATCCCTGTGCTCCCACTGGCCTCACACCCATCCTGCTCCGTGCCAGCAATCCCTGCGCCCATGATGGGCTGTGGGAACTCAGGGGAGGATTTTGGATCTGGCTAAGGCAGGAGCTGACCACAGCCACCAGCTCTGCCACCTGCACATCAGCACACACAGGAACTCTTGGATGGATGATTTGAGGTTTGCCTTGCACTCGTGTTGCTCAGACTGGGATAAACCTCGCAGCCAGCAGGGACGTGCCGGGATCCAGCCCCACTCCCCTCCCCCCAGCTCCTCGTATATTAAATTTCACACATTAAACTGCAACTGAAGAGCATCTCGGAGGGAACCGCTAAAAATAGCCGCGAGGCTGGAGCCTGGATCGTGCGGGAGAGTTCATGTGCAGCGCGGTCCCTGCGCTCCGCCCGAGACATTCCGGGGCTCGGCGCTGCTCCGTGGCCGTGCGGGGATGGGGAGCAGCGTCCGGGGCTGCTGGGAACCCCAGGGACAGACAGATATCTGCATCTCTGAGCATCTCTGCAGGGAAATAACGCCCCGATCCCTGCCGGGGCTGTGACCCCCTTTGCCTGTGCCGAGGCTGTGCCAGTGTCCTTGTGCCCCCAGCCGCGGGGCTGTGTGTGCTGTCCCCTTGTCCCCAGGAGGGATGTGGCGCTGTGTTTGCCCCTGCACCCCCTCCTCAGCCCGGAGATGATGTTTTCTCCCAGCCGAAGGTGCTGACGAGGCTGGGGGGAGCCGGCCGAGCCCGTGCGATCGCCGCCAGCCCTGTGCAGACACCTCGGTGCTCGCCGCTGTCACAGCCAGCCCGGGTGGCCTTTGGGGCTGTTCCGAGCAGCAGAGGGGCGCAGGGACTCCATCGGCAGCGTGTCCCGGGGGCCTGGACCATGGTCCTGGAGGTGCAGGCAGCGTCTTCCCTCTGTCCAGCACGCAGGTAAAGGCTCCGTGCGGGGTGACCCAAAAACGCAGGCACTGCAACAGAAATGTCCCTCCTTTGGGGGGCTCTGCGGGCAGCTGGGCTCAGGGACCCGCGGGCACAGAGCAGCCCCCGGCCCCGGAGATGAAGCGATGTGCCCGGAGCACAGCGGGCAGCCGGAGGAGGAGGGAAAGAGTCCCCGGGAGGGCTCCTGCCCTCCTGCTCCGAGGGGCTCCGGCCCGGGGGACCCGTCCGGGGCGGGCATGAGAGCCCGGAGCCGCCGGGGAGGGAAGGGGTGACGCCGCTGCACCCAGCACACTGCAGGGGGGACATGGGAGGGTCTTTTCCCATCGGCGCCTCCCCAGAGCCCCGGGAGAAGCCGGTGTCTCTGCTGGATTCCTGCGGCTCGCTCTGTGCATTCCCTGCCGCCTTTCCCGGGTGCTGCCTCCTTCCCTCCAGGGCACTGCCCGCATCCTTCCCGGGCATCCTCCGCATCCCTGCCTGGGCAGAGCCTCCTTCCCTCGCCGGGCGCTGCCCGCATCCCTGCCTGAGCTCTGCCTGCCTCCCTCCATCGCTCCCCGGGCGCTGCCCGCCTCCCGCCCGGGCATCCCCGCCATCCCACCGCCTCCATCCCTGCCCGGCTCCCCCCGCCGTGCCCCGGCCGGGCTCTCCGCTCCCCCCGGTGTGGCCGCGCCGGGCGGGGGCCGGGCCGGGCCGGGGCTCTGCAGCCGGGCTCGCCGCATGGCTCCGCCGCCCGCCGGGGCGCCGCCGGCCCGGGCCGCCGCTGCCAGGTACGGGATCGGCCGGGAAGGGCAGGACGGGGGCAAAGTTACCGCTGGTCAGGGCAGGGGTGGATGGCATGAGGGGACAAGGGGGAAAGTTGAGCGCCGGGGCTCTCCGCTCCCCTTCCCCCGCCGGAACGGGGGTGCGGGTGTCGTCCCCCCTCGGCATCCCCCGATCCCCTCCAGCCCCAGCGACGCCGCGGGCCGGGGGTGCTGCGCTGCCCAGCGCGGCCGGAGCATCCCCGCGAGGGTCTGGATGCAGGGAGTGCGAGATATGGGGTGAGTGATGTGAGGTGAGGGATGTGGGGTGCAGGATGAGGGATGTGGGGTGAGGGATGTGCGGTGTGGAATGTGGTGTGAGGGATGTGGTGTGAGGGATGTGGGGTGCGGGATGTGGGGTGAGGGATGTGGTGTGAGGGATGTGGGGTGAGTGATGTGGGATGAGGGATATGCAGTGAAGGATGTGGGGTGAAGGATGTGGGGTGAAGGATAGGGAGTGAGGTATGTGGGATGCGGGATGTGGGGTGCGGGATGTGGGGTGCAGGATGAGGGATGTGCGGTGAGGGATGTGGGGTGCGGGATGTGGGGTGCAGGACGCTGTCCCCGCCCTGCGGGGCTCAGGGGTCGCTCCTTGCAGTGCCCCAGGCGTGGCAGCGTGGCCAAGGTCGCTGCGGGGCCCGGGGCCGCCCTTCCCGGAGCCCCCTGGAGCCCCCGCCCGGCCCTGCAGCCCGCGGAGCCCGGCCTGAGCCCGGTGCTGAGCGCCCGAGGACCGGGGACGGTCCCTGCCCCACCTCCTCTCCGTGCGGTGCCCCGAAGGGTCCCCCCGCTGTGCCTCAGTTTCCCACAGCAGCCGCCTGTAGGGCCGGGCACCACCAGGTCGGGCTGTGATGTTTTTGGGGTGCAGTGTCCCCGCGGGCCAGCACAGAGGGCAGTGAGGTTCGGGCTGGGGCACAGCGGGCTCAGCCCGTGCCCCAGTTCCAGCGAGGCTCTGGTTTCCAGTTGTGAGGCTCCATCACGCTCCGGCCCCGCAGAGGAGGAAGGGTTTGTGGGGACAGGGCTGTCCCTGCAGCAGGGTGGCCCCCGGGACCTGCAGTGACAGTGCTGTGTGCTGGCAGAGAAAAGCCCTGGCAGGGTCGGGCCTGGGGGCTCCTGCACCCCCCATTTCCCTGCATCTGGCACAGAAATATCCCCACTACGGGGCTGGGGACAGGCAGCACCCCGGGGACAGGGACAGCACCCCGGGGACAGTGCCAGCAGCACGAGGGGACAGGGTCCTTGGTCCTGGCGTGAGGAAGGTGAGTGTGGTGTGAGCCATGGCCCAGGGAAGGGATCCCGGGGAGCTCGGCCACTCCAGCACCCAGCAATGGGAACCGCTGTGCCCAGGCTCCCCCTGGGGTAAATAATCTCCATCAAACAGCCACAACAGAGTGCTTGAACCTGACACTTTGCTGCCCTGCGCTTCGGGGATGGTGCAGGGAAAATGGGCCAGAGCATCAGAAATTGGTCAAAGCATCCACGCTTTGGGATGAAGCACCAGCTGCTTCCCAGGGATGGGAGCCAGCGAAAGTGGGGCCCATCCCTCACCCGTCCCCATCACAGCTCCTGGTGCCAGCGGTGTTTGGGCTGCTCAGGCTCAGCTCCCACGTCCCTGTGTGTGGGTTATCCCCCCGTGTCCCCCAAACGTGGGCCCTGCCCCGGGGTGGCTCCGGGCTCACCCTGTCAGCTGGCTGCTGAATGAGTCCCCATCAAGTTAATTCCCCAGCCGCTCCAAGGCTGAGAGGAAACGCTCAAGCTGTCGCTCGCAGGCGCTCAGCGATGTCCCCCCGCCCGCTAAAGGTAATTCCAGCTGTCCAAACCCAGGGAAGATGGATTCTCCAGCTTGGGACAGCACCGGGAAGGGACAGCTGGTGACAGTGGCCCAGCACAGCCTGGGACCCTGAGCAAAGACAGAGCCTTTCCTTGTTGTGGAGCTGGAAGGGCTGAATGTGCCTGTGAGAACCTTCCTGGAATAAAGTCCACTTTATTCCTGGAATAAATCCTGGAATCCTGCCTCTCCTTGGCTGCTGGGGCGGGACGCTCCAAGGAGAACCCTGAGGTCCTGCAATGCCAAAGCCCCTGGGTACATTGCCAGCTCCTGCTGGAGTAAACACCCAGAGAGATCTCTCAGAGCTGACCAGCTTCTCCTTGGCCTTGCAGTGACGGGGAGCCCCGGCGGGGAAATGCATCCTGAATGGGGCTGAGGCCCCCTGCCCGGGAATATGCAGCCTCGGCACCGCGGGGGCAGCACCGGGGCCGGAGCGCGGCGGGATGGTGGCAACCTTCAAGATCGCCGTGCTGGGAGCGCAGGGCGTGGGCAAGAGCGCCATAGTCCGGCAGTTCCTGTACAACGAGTTCAGCGAGGTGTGCGTGCCCACCACGGCCCGCCGCGTCTACCTGCCCGCCGTGGTCATGAACGGCCACGTGCACGACCTGCAGATCATGGACTTTCCCCCCATCACCGCCTTCCCTGTCAACACCCTGCAGGTACAGGGGCACCCCAGGGCGCCTCCACCTCTGCGGGTCTGGGTGATCCCCCTGTTGGTGGGGTTTTGCTGTTGGAATCTGTGGGGTTGCAGCTCTGCCTTTTTGGGGGATGTTTCTCTCTCTCGGTGTCAAGGTTTAGTTGCTAAATGAGGGGTTATGTCCTCATGGATCCTGCTGAGCAGATCCAGGATAAAGTGTGCTCTAAATTTTTGTGACAGCAAACACAAGAGAGGTGGCATCCCACTCCAAGGATGTGGCTCTGGCATTGCCCACAGCTGGGATCCTGGAGCACTGGGATCCAGTCCTTGACTGAGCCATAGCAAATCTAGGGTTGGTAAATCCTGTGGTCATACAGGAGACCCAAATTAACCTTATAACAGCATAAAGAGTGCTCACATGCTATCCAAGTAGCTAAGGTTAAAAAGCAACTGAGCTGTCACAAGCCCAAGATGCCAATAAAGCCCCTCCCCATCAAAGAACATCTTAGAACAATGATTAATTGAACTGCACGAAAGCCAGGGCCCAGACTTCGATTAGATACCCCACTATGCCTGACCCAGTGTCAGACCAACAGCAGAACATGTGGGTGACACCAGGGGTTCCTGGAGCCCTGATGCACCCACTGCCCAAGGCAGGCAGAGCCTGTCCCCTCCTGGGAGTGGCCATTGTCCCCTCCAGCATTGCCTGGGCTTGTTCTGGAGCTCTGAACCCACCAGCTCCCCCTCTACCCCCTCAGGTGCTTCCAAACCCCCCCAAAAAGCAGTGTGGGGTCGGAAAGCATTGCCACCAGCGCCAACAACTTCTGGGTGGATTTAGTGAGGAAAATAGGATGTTAAGCTCATGCCATAGCCCCAGGGGCACAGGTTGGGTCAGCACTGTGGGGAAAGGAGCTGCAGGTTCCCAGCTGTGGCTGCAGGGCAGTGCCACCAGTGAGGCCACCTCAATCAGTGACAGTGTCCCTGTCCCCAGCAGCGCCAGGGTCACAGGGGCCATGTAGTGCTCCAAGAGCACCTGTACCATCAGGCAGGAGGTGAAATGAGCACTCCAGGGGCGAGGAGAAGGTTTAAAAATTAATGGGTGAGCGCAGGGAAGGAAAGGTCAGCGTGAGAAAGAGCCCGAAATAGCAAAGGGTAATTTATTGACACAGCAGCCAATGCTCACACACTCCATTAACTCCCTGCCTTGCTGCACCCCAGAGGAGGTGCCAGTGGGAGCAGATGGAGGTTTCCAGGGAACAGAGGGTGATCAGAGGGGTGGCTCTGAGGGGAAAGGAGAGGGATAAAGCTCTGTCTGCAGGGAAACATCCTAGACTCAGCTCCGTGCCAGGAGCAGCATCCCTGCAGTGCTGTCCTGCAAGGGGAGCAGGAGCCAGTGCCTCTCTGACGTGCTGCTCCTGCAGTGCAACACTCAAACATCCCAGGAGACCTGCACTGCTGAGGAAAACCACCCTGACACGGCACAGCTGCCCCCAGCACGGTGAAATAGCTGCAGTTCCTTGTCTCCCTGGTGTATCAGGGCTCAGAGGGAGCCCCGAGGCTGCTGCTCCATCCTCCTGCATCCCTGAGCCCCAGGGTCTCTCCAGCATCTCCCCTGGGCGGGCAGGGAGGGGCTGTGTCCCTCTGTGCCCTGCCAGCTCAACCCACATCCCAAAACTCCCCTTTCCCCTCCTCATTCTGATATAAACACGGGAAGGGCTGATTCATGGCTCTGAGGGGGTTTGCTCAGGGACAAGTGATGCCTTTCCTCCCTGGAGAGTCTCTCTCCTCTCCAGAGGCACCCAGGAGGGTTTTGCAGTGCTGCCTGCAGGGGCTGCCATTCCCAGTCCCATCTGAGATGGGAAAGTGCCTGAAGTGAGGCAGATTTTCGCTCATGACATGAAAAAAAAAAAAAATCCGGTTGTTCCCAGAAACCCAAGGGTTTCCTAACAGCATTAATTTCTTCCAGCTCCAGATTTTGGCTGTAGAGAGGCCACCCCTGCCTGCCTCTGCCCTGGATCCACATCTTGCTCTCACACACTCAGTTCCTCAGCAGCCTCTGCTCCTCTTCTGTCCCCGTGTCCCCACCAGACAGAGCTGCTGTCACCTTCCCCCTGTGACCCACAGAGCTGCTGCTGCATCACCCTCAGATGGGGCTCAGCATCCTCCTCACCCGCCCTGCCCCAAAAACCAGGGTGCATCACTAATTAGCACAGCTAATTAGCAGCTCTGGAGGATGAAGCTTTTACTCCCAGGGTAGGGGGCTGCATCCAACCCCACTCCCAGCTCAGCTCTGGGCTGGAATTAGGCTGCAATCCTCCCTCAGGAGTGGAATTGGGGCTGATAAATCCTGTTACCTCTCCCCTGGGCTGACAGGGGAAATAAGGGATCTCTGGAGGCTGCAGAGCTGTGGGGCACACACAGAGGGGTCAGGGCAGAGCAGAGAGGGGTGCTGGGGCAATGTGCAGCCCCCAGAACAGGGCAAGGCAGGGCATCCCCCAGGCCCAGAGCCAGGACTGACCCCTGTGTGCCCCTGCAGGAGTGGGCAGACGTGTGCTGCAGGGGGCTCCGGAGTGTCCATGCCTACATCCTGGTCTATGACATCTGCTGCTTTGACAGCTTCGAGTACATCAAAACCATCCGCCAGCAGATCCTGGAAACGAGGTACGGATGGCTCCGGGGTGGTGGCAAGGGAGTTCTGCACCAGGGGGGCACATCCTGGCATCAGAGAGGAGATACCAGACAGGCACAAAGCCCCTTTGGCAGGGATGGGAGCCCAAACACCAAGAGAGGAGCAGGAGCCCAGGCAGGCTCCTCTGAACCCAGGATTCCTGGTACAGCTGCTCCCTGTCCTGCTCCATGGAACCCAGGGAGGGCTGGAGGATTCTCTGCTGCCAGCCCCAAAACTAGCTGCAAAATGCCCAGCAAAGGCTCTGAGGAAATCCCTGCCTCATTCCTGACAGAATTCCCAAGAAAAGAGGATTAGCTGCCCTCAATAAGATTCCACACGTGCGGCACATCCTACACCTTTCACTTCACTTCACTTCACTTCACTTCACTTCACTTCACTTCACTTCACTTCACTTCACTTCACTTTCCACACCTCTCACTCTCACTCCAAGAGAGAAGAAACAGGGTTAAGGCTGGCAGAGCTCTGAGGAGCCTGGCTGGGATCTGGCTTTGATTCTGGCTGTTGATTTGTGCATTAATGAGCCAGGCAGGTGTCCCCTGTGGCTGAGCCCTGGGTGAGCAGCTGCAGGGGCCATGGGGGTGTCACCAGCTGGGGGCTGTGTACAAATCACCAATGGGACAGGACTGCTGGAACGTGCCTTGAGCTGTTTGATTTTCCAGCATCAGCCTCATTACTTGGTTATGACAATGGGAAGATGCCAGCAGCTCCCATCTCAAGCAGAAAACTAAGAACTTAATGTTACAATTTACTTTATAATTTTTTGACCAATCACACAGAGCAAAAGCATATTGACAGTAGTTCTATCCATGTATCCATGTACCTTTGGTTAAACAATGCTTGCTTATTTTGAATACAAGACCTACTTGTAAGCTTTAAAACACAATGCACAAAACTCTATTATTAAGCTTCAGACTTCCTAATATCTTGCTAGATAAACTTTTCTGGAAGGTTTAGCTTTCCAGAAAAGTTTATATAAATAGTTTATGTAAATAGCTTAGAAAGTTATTCTAGACAAGCGTTAATACACAGACCATTGTTGTATTTGTCCTTGCTTTTCTACAGTTTAAATAACTTTTCTGCTGACCAATCTCAAGGCTGCTGCTTAGCTCTAATCACAGTTCTGCTGTCTCTGAGCCCTGCCTTGTGCAGCTTTCCCAAAACCCTCTGATTTTGTAGATTCCCACATGGGGGGTGGCTGGACACGGAGAGGGACGAGGGGACAAGGCAAGGCACAGCCAGGAGCCCTTTGGGGATGACGGGTTGAGCTCTGTGGGCTGTCCCTCTGTGTCCCTCCCTGCCATCCTCCCTCACTGCCCGCCTTCCCCAGGGTCATCGGCACCTCGGAGACGCCCATCATCATCGTGGGCAACAAGCGGGACCTGCAGCGGGGCCGGGTCATCCCGCGCTGGAACGTCTCCAACCTGGTGAAGAAGACGTGGAAGTGCGGCTACATCGAGTGCTCGGCCAAGTACAACTGGCACATCCTGCTGCTCTTCAGCGAGCTCCTCAAGAGCGTGGGCTGTGCCCGCTGCAAGCACGTCCACACCACCATCCGCTTCCAGGGCGCGCTGCGCAGGAACCGCTGCACCATCATGTGAGCCCAGGGACCCCCCAAAATCGGGGATGGTTCTGCTGCACCATCATGTGAGCCCAGGGACCCCTGCCCAGGGGCACCCCGAACCCTGGGATGGTTCTGCTGCACCATCCTGTGAGATCCCTGTCCAGGGGCTGCCCAAAATTAAGGATGGTTCTGCTGCATCATCCTGTGAGACCCCTGCCAGGGCTGCCCAAATTTGGGGATGGTTCTGCTGCACCATCATGTGAGGAGACCCCTGCCAGGGACCCTAGGACTGCCCAAATTTGGGGATGGTTCTGCTGCACCATCCTGTGAGCTCCCCCTGCCCAGGACCCCGCAAACCCAGGGATGGTTCTGCTCCCCGGGCAGTGGGAGCTGTGCTGGAGCCACCTCCGGGCTTGCTGAGGTGACATTTGGGGACAGGGGGTGCAGGGGGACAGTGAGGGGTGAGGGATGGCCCTGAGCTCTCTGCGAGCCTGCAGAGCTTGAGGCCAAAGCCATCCCAGGGGGCTGTACGTGCCACTGGAGGGTGGAGGAGGTGCCCAAATTTTTGGCTGTCCCTTCATCCTTGCCAGTTCCTGCCCTGGCAGCACAGGGGCAGCTCCTGGTGCTGCCTCATCACCTGCTCCTGGAAGGGAATTATCCAGCACCTGTATCCCGGTGCTCTGGGGGTGTTTCTGTCTCCGGGGCACAGGGAAACAGGAGTTCTGCTTTTCCCCTTGTGGGGTTTCTCCCCACGGAGGGCAGAGCAGCCGGGCTACATGCGCTGTCTTTTGGTTTGGTCAGGTCAGATCTCCAGGTGGATATTCTGGATGAAAGCAAAAAAAGGGGGAAAAAGTAAATCCCAATCCTGCTCCTGACACCCCCAGGAGCTGGATTCTGCCTTCCCAGGGCTCTGAGCCCCCCTCTGCCCCAGCACAGCCCCAGCACAGGAAGGCTGTGAGCACCAAATAACCCGGGAACGCTCCTTGCGGGGCAGGTCACCCCTCTGCTACCTCTGCTCCTGGGCTCAGCAGGTGACCAGCTCTGCACCCCAGCCCCCGGGGTGTCCCAGGCAGGTGGGCACCCCCCTGTGCCCCCTGTGCCCCCGGCAGTGCCACCAGGCTGGGTTTTCCCACAAGGATGCTGCCTCGGCAGCAAAAGGGAGCTGGAGCAGCACTTCCAGCTGAATTCCTGCTTTGTTTTTTTTTTTTTTCTCTCTGCATATCCCTAATAGCTAAGTCCTCCATGTTGTTTTTTTTTTTTTTAATTATTTTTTTTAATTGTTTAATTATTATTTTTTAATCTTGTGGTTTGTGTTTGCACCAGAGCCGCAGCTCGCCTGCGTGCTGCCCTGCAGGGCGGGCTGGCAAAGGGCAGCCCCTGCTAGGAAATGGTGATGGGGGGGTGGAGGCAGAGCAAGAGGCCGAGAGGGTCGTGGTTTCTCCATGGCTGGTCCCTGTGAGACGCAGGGAAACACCATCCTCACCTGCTGAGGCAGGATCTGAGTCTGATCCACGCTCCAGCAAATCCATCCCCGTGATTCCTGCTGCCACAAGGAGCTGGAAGGGTTCATCAGAACAGGACACCCATCCCCTCTGGCACCACAGCCCGGTGTCCAGCGCAGCTCCACTGTGCTCTTGGAATTGCTTCCCACTAAAGGCAGCTCCAGCTGAGCTCCAGTGCCTCTGACCACCCCATCCCTGTGCCAGGGCTGGGCGTGCATCCTGCTCCTCCCTCCCTGCTTGGGGAATCAAACCCCTCGCTCCAAAATTTAAAACAAAAAAAGGGAAAAAATTAGGAAAGGCAATGGGGGGACACGAGTCCATCTCAGCCAGGAAGGGCAGTGGCACTTGTCACCGTCCCTCGCCTTCATGGCAAACCTGGCTCCCTGTCCAAGCTCATCCTGACAGGATTTATTAACACATCTAAGTCCACTTACCGATCTCTGGCTAGAGCTTTACCCCTCCAAATTTGTCTGAGAAGGAAATTCCTTGGTAAATGCTAATAATAATAAAGCATTTCTAAAGTGCTCACACGTACACATATCAACGACTAAGCCAATACATTGTTTGTTAAAACCCTGTAGCCTGCAGTTTATAGCACAATTAGTTACAGGTTTTTATAGCATCTATTTAGTATTTTGAAGAAAAAAAAAGAAGAAAAAAAAAGGTTATAAATATAATTGTTATATTCTATTGTACTTTATAGACAGAGGAAGTTATATTAGTAATAACAACAACTCTCACTGCTTCCACAGCATTTCCCAGCTCCTGGAAGAGCGAGGGCTACACAGAGCTCCTCTCCCCAGAGCCCAGGAAGGGGTGGGGGGTGCAGGCAGGGAGATCCCAGTTGTCCAGGCACAGGGATTGGAGCACGAGCACCCTGTGGCCCTACTCACACCTTACTACAGATTTACCACTCACCCAACGCCTCCCTGGTCCTGCTGAGAGCAGCCTGGGCCTGGCACAAGCTGGGATGTCCCCACTGCTGTGCCCAGGGCAGTGCCAGCTCTGTGCCCTGTGCTCCTGGGGGTGATGCTGGGTTCACCAAGGATGCTCCCCTCTCCTCCTCCTCCTCCTCCTCCTGCCCCACTGAGCATCCCAAGCCTGGACTTGGCTTCCCTTTACCCCCTGGGCTCCTTGTTGGAGATTCCCGAGGTGTCTGCACCGCCTGTGACGCCCTGCACCTCCTTCTTTGAAATTGAATTAAAAATCAGGTCTGTCCCCTTGTTCTGTACCGGCCTCAGGAGTGTTTTTGCCAGCAGGTTTTGCGTTCCCCCGAGTGCCAGCGCTCACATTTGCAGCTCCTCTGCAGGGAAGCGGGGCTGGCTCCATCCTCTCGTGGAAAATGAGACTCTCCTGGGCATTGTGGGGCTCTCAGGGGGACGATTGCTGTGCCCACATTAGGATTATCATCCCTCCCCACCCACCCACCCACACAGAAAAGAAGTGGAAATGGAGTTTTGGCACATTTCTATTGCACAAACAGCATTGCTGGGGGCTCGGGATGCAGCAGTGCCTGCTGTGACCCTAATTTGGAGAGTTTTGGTGACGTCCAGCACTGAGAGGGGACCACAGCCACCACAGGGTCCCTCCTGTGACCCCCCAGCACTCATGGAGGCTTTTGGAGCTGTCAGACACGGGGCTCACCGGTGCCAATGGGGAGCACTGAGGTGTGAGATGCTTTATATGGGTGTCAAGGATTGGGTGTCCCCTCTTCAGGTGTGGCTAAACCCTTCCCCCTGCAGAAAGCATCGATTTGGGGCTGGATTTTTCCAGTACAGAAGAGCCTGTTTAGCAGGATTACCAGAAAAATAAATCCATTGGGAAGGAAGGGGTGCAGCGGTGAAAATGAGGTGGAACCCCCCGGGTTGTGTGGGAGCAATCCCACCGGGGATGGTTCTGCTCCATCTTCAGCTGCAGCATCGCTCCCACCCTCGGAGGGAGGGCTCTGTCCGTCCGTCCGTCCGTCGGTCTGTCCGTGCCTCGGGCTGGGCTCAGACCCACGACTCCTCCTCCTCATCCTCGCTCAGCCCGGTGCCGCTGTCCCCCGGGGAGGGCTCGGGGCGGGCGCGGCCGCTCTGGGGGGCTCGGGGGGCGCCCGGGGGTCGCCGCTGGCCCCGGGGGCGCTGCCCCAGCGGGGTGGGGATGCGCGACGGGCGCTTGCCCGGCCTGTGGTCCCGCCGGGGCCGCACCTTGGGCCGCAGCTTCAGCTTGTAGATGGAGGGCACCCGCTCGGGCTTCTTCAGGCAGCGCCGGGGCTTGGCGGCGGTGCTGGCCCGGGGGGTCTGGCCCCCCATTCCCGGCCCCCCTGCCTCCCTTTGGGATGGGGTCTGGCCTCCCATTCCCGGCCCCCCTGCCTCCCCTTGGGATGGGGTCTGGCCCCCCATTCCCGGCCGCTCTGTCCCCCCCGGGGCCGGGAGCTCCGGGGCAGCTCCTGGGGCAGTTTTGGGGCCCTGGCCCCACATCCCCACGGGGCGCAGGGGCTGCGGGCCGCGGGACAGCTCCTCCAGCACTCTGGCATAGCCGGGGGGCTGCGTGTGCCCGCAGCACCCCCGGAACCCTTCGGCCCCATCCTGTGCCCCCCGAGGTCCCTCAGAGCCCCCAGCCCTTGTGCTCGGGGCTGGGTGGCGCTGTCCTGTCCCCTGGGGACTGTCCCCAGCACCGCAGACCCTGCACCCCCCCGCAGAACGGCCCTGAGGGGTGGGGGGCCGGGGGGCCGGGCTGGCTTTGAGGGGGGGTTTAACGCTGCTGTTCGGTTTTGGGGCTTGGCTGGAGCAATTCCGGGGTGAGGGCTGTCGGCCCCGGCCCAGGGCTCCCTGCCTCCCTTCCTGTGAGCTCTTCAGGCTCCGGGGGTCTCCTGGAGCATCCCGGTGCGAGGAGGGGGCGCAGACCTTTGGAGGACTGGGGGCACGGACGTTGAGGGGACTGGGGGCACGGACTGTGGCTGTCCCCGTTTCCTGCGGCCTGGCAGCCCGCACAGATGATTTTCCTCCTTGCTGGGCGCTCCTCGGAGCTGCCGGTGCCGTCCGTGGGCTGGGAGCTGCGGGCCTGCCCCGTGCCGGTGCCACAGGGGTGGATGTCCCCGGGATGGATGGTGTCCCCGGCCTGGATGTCCCCAGGCTGGATGATGTCCCCAGGCTGGATGATGTCCCCGGGCTGGTCCCTTGCCATGCCCTGGGCACCCCCGCGCCGTTCGGGGCGCTCAGCCGGGACGGGGTGGGTGCCCGGCCCCGAGCTCCGAGCCCAGGGGAGCCGGATCGGGCCGGTGAGCGGGATGGTGGCGGCTGCCTCCCCAAGGGGACAGCGGGTGGCTCCCGCATCCTGCAGGGACAGACCGCAGAGAGGGGCCGGGAGCTGCTGCATCCCCCCGTCCCACCTGGTGCTGGGCACCTCCAGACGGGAGAGGTGAAAAAATTCCAAAGATGCTCCAAAACCTGCTCTGAATCCAGGTAGTTTGGGGCACGAAGCATCTCTGCAGCACTTACCTGCCCGAGGGGACCCTCCGGGGCTGTGCCGGCTCCGTTTGAGGGCTGGCACC